GCGGCGGCGAACGCGTCGGCGTCGGGCTGGGCAGCTGGCGGCGGCGGCGTCCGGCGACGTAGCGGCGCGGGCCGGGCGCGCGCGCGTGGCCGTCGAGGCGCAGCTCTTCGCGGCGGGGGCGGCCGGCGGCGGCCAGGACCCACGCCGTGGTGCGTGGGAGGCGCGTGGGCGGCGGTGGGCGTGCACCCGCGAGGTGGACGCGCGCCCCTCGGCTACGAGCCGTTGCCCTTCAGCCCGAAAGTCAAAAGGTAACTGCGCCTGTAGCAGCTTTACTTAAAAAAGGTAATACAGTAACGTCTCTATAATTCGGGTGTCAATTCGTTGAATTTCCCTTAAATTCGAGGTAAATCTGACTTACCAAAATTTAAATAAAATAAAATTAGAATAAATAATTTATTCCAGAAAAACATGACCAACAAATGAAAAATTGACATCTGTTTTTTATTGTTATTTGGCGATTCGAAGCATTGTTGTTGGACAAGCTTTAAGTTCTCGACTTGGTCTCCTGAGAAGTGTGAAAGTGTAGTGCTGTGAGTGAAAGTGTGTGTACGTAGAGGTAGAGTATTATGACAAGGAAGATAAAGAATGATTGCGTGCGGTCAGTGGCCCGTTTTATTAGATGATCTGCTCGCCGCGGCATTCGTCTTGTGTTGATCAGAGCAACCGGCCTCTACAATCCCCCCCCCCCCGGATAGCGACTGAATTCGATCTGGAAGAGAGGGCAACGGCAGGGCCTTCTGCGGCGGCGCGCGCGGTGTTGCAGCCTGTACCGCGATGCACGCGCTGGCGCGCCCGGTGGGCGGCGGCGGCGGGGCGGCGTGCCAGAGCGAGGGCGGGCGCGCACCTGCTGGTGCTCAACTCGGCGGCCGAGGCGCTGGTGGGTGCACGAGTTCTTCGAGCGGAAAGCCGGCCTTCGTGGGCGCCACCAACCCGGGCGTGGTCTACGTGGGCGCGACGCGCCACGCGGCCGCAACGTGACGGTGCTGGGCGGCGACGTGGAGGCGAGGCGGGCTACGCGCGCTGGGCGCCCGACGGCTGGGGCGCTGCTGCCTCGTCCTGTGCGCCATCGTCGACACGCGCACGCTGCTCGGCTTTCGACGCGCGCGCTGCCACTACCCATGAGGCCCTTCATCTGTGGACGCCGCGCCCCTCGGCTACGAGCCGATGCCCTTCAGCCCGAAAGTCAAAAGGTAACTGCGCTGTAGCAGCTTTACTTAAAAGGTATACAGTAACGTCTCTAACTGTATACAGTAACGTCTCTATAATTCGAGTCTCAATTCGTTGAATTTCCCTTAAATTCGAGTTAAATCTGACTTACCAAAATTTAAATAAAATAAATAATTAGAATAAATAAATTTACTCCAAAAAAAAGGACCAACAAATGAAAAATTGACATCTGTTTTTTATTGTTATTTGGCCGATTCGAAGCGTTGTTGTTGGACCAGTGCGGTAGCATTGTTGTTACGGCCAATTGGTTAAACAACCATTTAATTGGGCGGATTTCAGTTTGATGAGTTCGGCACTAGCACGTGCAAGTCACCTTTGAAAGATTTTTTTTAATTTTGTTTAGAGAATAGTTTTTCCTTGATGGGTTCTAAGAAAAGGAAAAGGAAATTCGCATTGAAATTCCATTATCTTTGAAATTAGAAAGATTAAAAAGGCTGGATTAAGGGGAAACTTAAAAAACCTCCGTCGAATACGGCGTAGGTAAAGTAACGGTTGGTGAATGGCGTAGAAACAGGAGGAAATTATGAACTTTTTTTAGTAATAAGTGCTCAGACGTGTCATTGGACAGAAAATCTTTGAAAAAATCTGAATTTGAAAAAGCTGGTGATGCACGTTTTATGTGGTTTACCCACAAAATGCAAAGAGGATACCCTCTTTCAGGTCTGATTGTCCAAGAAAAAGCTTTGGTGTTACAAAAAGTATTTGAAGAGGGAGGTACGGAAAATTTCACTTTTAGAGTAGGCAGGTTTAACAAGTGGAAAGAAAATGGTATTCGGCAACTAGAGTTGTCTGGAGTGAAATTATCTGCTGATTCTGAAGCCGTCGTAAAATTTTGCAAGACATTTCAACAGACAGTGAAAACTGAATAACTTACAAATGACCAGATTTTTAATTGCGATGATATTTTGTTGTTTAATGTATGTCACTAGTTAATAAAATATTTCCGTTGCCAGTGCAGAATGTTACAGTATAATGCATTTAATGTGAGCCTCTTTGACTCTAAGGAGGTTGCCAATTTCCCCCTGCCGAGCCTGCTATCCCAAGTTGGTTGATTGATTAGGGACTGCGGGGGCGTCAACTGCTACGGTCGTTAGTCTCACAAATGTAGTGCATGTTTTCCCCCTCGGGGGGGGCGGTGACCTTCCCCCGCTGGATGGTGAGATCCTGCGCCGACCTACCTGTTGCCTGTCGGGGTTTCCCTAATAGGTATCTCCCACTAACAGGGCACCGCCCAGCTGCGACAAGCTTTAAGTTCTCGACTGGTCTCCCGAGAAGTGTGAAAGTGTAGTGCCTGTGAGTGAAAGTGTGTGTAAATAAGGGGTAAGGATATGACAAGGAAGAGGAAAGAATGATTGCGTGCGGTCCATGGCCGTTTATTAGAGTACTGCTTCGGCATTCGTCTTGTGTTGATCAGAGCAACCGGCATCTACAATTCCCCTCCGGGTAGCGAGCGACTGAATTCGATCTGAAGAGAGTGCAACGGCAGGCCTTGGCGGTGGCCGCGCGCGTGTTGCAGCCTGTACCGCATGCACGCGCTGGCGCGGCCGTGGGCGGCGGCGGCGGCGGCGTGCCAGAGCGAGGGCGCGCACCTGCTGGTGCTCAACTCGGCAGCCGAGGCGCTGGTGGTGCACGAGTTCTTCGGGCGGAAGCCGGCCTTCGTGGGCGCCACCAACCCGGGCTGGTTCTACGTGGGCGCGACGCGCCACGCGGGCCGCAACGTGACGGTGCTGGGCGGCGACGTGGAGGCGACGGGCTACGCGCGCTGGGCGCCCGACGGCTGGGCGCTGCTGCCCTCGTCCCTGTGCGCCATCGTCGACACGCGCACGCTGCTCGGCTTCGACGCCTGCCACTACCGCAGGCCCTTCATCTGCGAGCGCGAGCCCTGACAGCCCCGAGCTTGCGGGAAGGTAGCTCGCCCCTGCAGCTCGGAGGCCATCTCTCAGATGACAATTTCCATTCCCTGATCCAGTCAGAAGGCATTTCAGTGATGACAACTGCTTTTCTTATTTCAAGAGAGAACTGTATAGATTGATCGTTGTATTAAAAATAAAATAATTGTTTCTAGATTTATGTTTAATTTTCTTTATTTCCAAGCTTTTCAATCAATAAATTAAACTACTAAAATATGTCAATTTGGAACGTGATTTTTAAAAAATTAAAGAAAATACATTTATGTTTCGCATTTTTTATTCAAATATTAAGTTCATTGTAAAGTCATAGCAAAGATAAAAACCAAAGAGTTCAGTACTATTTAAAATACAAAGCCTGACAAATGAAATGTATCGCGTCTGCTCGTAAGACCGCGACCCAATGGCCAACCTGACGGAAGTGCGAAGCGCGCAACCCCCGAACCCTTCAGTCAACGCTTCATCTCAGGGATGTCCTCCGGCCTGTAGAACAGAGCAATGTCTCAAGGCACAGGAGCTGAGAATCATTTCAAGATAGCACCTCAGACATGTCGTACGACACTTCAAGGCGACGAGGTGGAAGGAGGGGGTTACATTGTCATCCAATTGGAAGCTCCAATACCAAAAATTTAAGTCGTAACGAATATCCCAATTGGATGGCCGTGCCTCCCTTTCATTCCAGCTCGTAACCACGAAGTGTCATTACGTTTACATCGGAGTATAGACGTATAAGAGCATCATCAATGATAGCGTATCGGGCTGCTTTGCCCAAGTATGAAGGCTCAAATCTCATGAAAGCAGTGGATTGCTTAAGACACTAAGAAAAGTAAGACACCTTACTTCAGAATGGAAGTAAAGCCCGCTGTCCTATGTTGTAGAATTACTGCATGTAAAAGATCATCTAATCTAAAAGAAACCACTGAGCTAAATTCAAACTGCCTGTTTCGTCATCTGAGCGATACCTTCTTTCTCCACTGGGGGGTGAAAGGAGCGGTGCAAAATTTGAGTGGCCACACGGGATGGCCTGTGTCTCGACGCGTAAAATAAAGTATCATTGAGTTGAATAGAGCTTTAAACTTTTCCCTTTTTTCTTATGAACGGCCCTTCTACTAAACATGGCAACTGCAGCATCCATAGCAATTAATACGTAATTGACACGTGTACTAATTATACCGAAACAAGTTAATAAACAGTAATCCTAAAACGTGAGAAATAAAAGTGTAATTTTCAAAACGAAATCTACTTTCTTTTTATAGCAGTCGTTTTTATTAGGAAAGTTGCACAATGTGATAATGACTTCCAACATACACCCGTGAATTCTTGATGGTACTGATTAAAAATGTACCTTCACTCATGGATTATTCGAGACTTGTTAGAATACAGTAGACTTTTATCACTAACCGTTGAAAGCTGAAAATCGCCGTCAATGTTCAAATGCCCTCTGCGATTTAGTTATATGACGTATTACTTTAAGATTTAGTGAGATGTCAGTTTTTTGCTATGTTCTCAGCATTCAGTTTCACCCATCAGTTTCAATCTTCTGGAACGTTGCACCAAAATTGTTCAACCGTCTACGTCCGAAAACCCTGAGGTGTAAAAGCAACGTTGGAATGGATATAAGCCATTCGTTAATCCCGTTTATACAAAAGTGCATGTGGACGCAAGGAAGTTATTATTTTTACATTAAACTTTTTTAAACGAGCTGATTTTGATTTCTCTACATTAATACTAATTTATTATATAAGATGATAAAGAGCCATTTTACCAAAGAGGGAAATATTACTTCACGCGCGAAAGAGCAAGTGAGTAATCTTTTTCGTCGCGTATAATATTTTATAAAATTTCGTCTTGTAATAAAACACAAAATTTCTAAAATAGTTACGCCAGGTTGAGTAGTATCTGTAGCAATCGTCCCACTATTAGAGCTATTGAGAGAATTGAAACATTTTTATATCACACGCTACCTATAGAAGTACACTTAAGTTATTAGTTATTAATCATTAGGAAGTATTTTCAATGAGGATAAGGAATTAGGATAAGAATATTATTAACAAGTAAATAAGGAATTATACAGTTTTTTTGAAATCTCTAAAGTAATGAACGATTAGAATTAGCCATAAAGTTCCAACTATAGAACTTCTCTGCTAGCGACACTCGTACATTACTTTCTCGATTTCAGAAACGACATTCACAATAAATACAAGGGTTCAAATTAAGTAGATTTAGAAAACGTTATAAGCTGCTCTTGGAATTTCTAATTGACTACCCATCCCATATAAAGCTTTTAGCCTTTTCTTCACTTTGACCTCACTTCGAGAAATTACTATTCAACCGCTATTGAATAACACCAATGATTTTGTGCTAACGTATTCGCAGTTTATTTATGCTGATGATAGCTTCATTTACATTACGAAGTCTGAAAATCTTAAGCAAAAAGTTACTTTCTGGCCTCAATCATTCGAGTAAGAAGCGCAAAAAAATTAGTCTGAGAGATGTCGAGTTCAAGGCACCAGCTATCTATGACTCATTATCAGCAAATGCCAAGATAAAGCATATACAATTTTAATGATACATTCGAAGGCCCCAATAAATAAAAAAAAACACGAATTTTACTATAAAAACGGAAGTTGAGGCATTACCCTCATTAAAGAGCTCTTACATATATCTGCAATGGGAAATAACGTGGCATTTCTGTCTACACTTCATGTCTCCCTGATGGGAATAATATTTTTTGTAAGTATTCCAACTTCATTAGTTAAGTAATAATACACCACTGTAAGGAATGCCATTCATCATGGATTTTACACAAAAAAGTATGCATGTACATTTCAATCATAACTCACTCCGTTCAAAGACTTGCCTCGTGCATTGAAGAAGTGGATACAATGTGTCCTTGAATGGTAAATGAAAAAATAATGTAAGGGAAAATAAAAGTATGCGTAATTTCTTACACACACAGACCGTCCCACTAAAAAGGTGACAAAGTAGTTAGACAGTATGCTGTACGTATGTCATGCTTAGATAAGGTATATGTAAGTTCTTTGATTGTTGACAATACGAGGTAAGAGCACACACGAGTGCGCCCCAAAGAATGATCCGCACTTGAGATAATCATATCTTTATAGCCCTAAGTCGCAAGATGTGTGGCCAGCTTCTGCAAGTGTACAATATAACGGCGCACGAGTGTTTGTGTGAATGAGCCATGCTTGGAGCCACATGTTGCTCTATGTCAGCGTTGACAGTTTTGCACATTAGAAGAGAATGCCACGCGAGAGTTTGTACAAACGAATGTGCGCTAATTAAACTCATTTGATAGTTGGCTAGTGTATAACAGGAAGCGTTCCGCTTCCCTGAAGGTGTGAAATAGAAAATGTGCCACAAAAAACCGAGTTCCCCTGTATGTTTCCTGTATGTCAGGAGGCGTGGTCTGCCCCTTTAGGTGTACAGTAGAATTAGTGACCCAAAATGTACTCCTTTTGCGTGTTGGCTGTTGTGCCAGGGCGCGTGGCCAGCTTTAGGAGGCTGCGAGGGAAGAGCATATGTTTGTGAGAGAGAATGAGCGCTGATTAGGCTCTTTTGGCTGTGTGTGTCAGGGAGCGTGGCCAGCTTTTGCAGGGTCCAAGAGAAGATCAAGTGGTATTGAGAAAGGTGGAGCGCTGATTGGGCTGTTTGGGTGTGTGTGTGAGGGGGCGTGGCCAGCTTTTGCAGGCTGCAATAGAAGATCAAGTGGTATTGAGGAAGATTGAGCGCTAATTGGGCTCTTTTGGCTGTGTGTGTCAGGAAGCGTGGCCAACTTTTGCAGGCTACAAGAGAAGAGCAAGTGGAATTGAGAAAGATTGAGCGCTGATTGGGCTCTTTTGGCTGTGAGTGCCAGAGAGCGTGGCCAGCTTTTGCAGGTTGCAAGAGAAGAGCAGGTGGAATTGAGAAAGATTGAGAGCTGATTGGGCTGTTTGGCTGTGTGTGCCAGGGGGCGTGGCCGGCCGCCGTGGGCGAGGGCGGGGGCGACGGCGAGTGCTCGGCGCTGGGGCTGCAGGTGGAGGTGGCGCTGAGGGCGGAGCGCAACGCGTCCGGCCACTGGCTGCTGGCGGCGGCCGCCTCCGCCGACGTGGCTTCGCGCGCGCGCCCGCTGCTGGCCTCGCACGCGCGCCTCCACGTGGCTGACGCGTGCGCGGGCGGGTGGGCGGCGCTCGCCTCCACCACGGCCGTGCGCGCGCACCACCCCGACTACGAGCGCATGCCCTTCACGCCCGCACTCACCAGGTAAGGACTAGCGGTGCTGAAACTGCGAATAAACGAGCAAAAGGTACTCAAATGTTCGAAACGTTACACATGAAATTATTTGAAAATCTGTCGACAAAACTTTCAATTTTTGCAATTTTCGTAAAATCAGAGATTATAACAAAAATTGGACATACACAATTCTTTTAAACAGCCTTCACACTATCCAACAACAAAAGGTAATAAAAAACGAAGGAGTCTTTTTAAAATTTGAAAATGTCCCAGGGGCTTCGTGTTAAGAACCCCATAAAAATACAATATCGATTTCAAAATCATGGGGCTGCGATAGACCAGCCATATCGATGGGGGAATATCAATTTTGGAAAAAGCTGGCTAAGGTGTATAGCTGCTTGCCTTGTTCACAGACGGACGGACGCAAGGACAGATATAACTTTTGATGTGAATCGATCAAAGACAAAACATGAATTTTGGTTACATCACGTTTACAGAATTCTTTTTCTAAATTTAGCAACTTAATACATCCAAATTTCGTTATGAGGAAAGGCGTTTTCCGCGCAGTATTACATTCCGTCACTTTCTTTCTCCTGCGTTACCGGAGCGAGATATTCTTCGTGTCTTCCGAGCTGATGGGCCGTGGTCCAATTAACTTTGAACTGTCAAATGTTTCCCCCAAGACTGTGGTCGTCATCAGTGGCGAGGTCTCGGGCGAAGTGTCCGGGACGGTGGTTGACTGGCGAGCGATTCGTGGGAGGAAGAAGAAAAATGAATAACGCTGCGCGCTGTTTTCCAGCCTGTACCGCCTGCACACGCGCGCCCTCCCGTGGGAGAAGGCGGCGGCGGCCTGTCGCCGGGACGGCGCGCACCTCCTTGTCGTCAACTCGGAGGCCGAGGCCCTCGTCGTGAAGGAGTTCTTCTCGCGGAAGCCGCAGCTTGAGAATGCGTTCAATGCGTTCTGGCTCGCCGTTGGCTTTCGCAGGTTCATGGGCCGCAACGAGACGGTGCTGGGAGGCAGCCTCGAGACCTCGGGGTACAACAAGTGGGCCCCGTTCGATGGGCAGTGGACACTGACACCAATAACCGACTGCGGTGTTGTTGATCGACGGCTTTTGTACGCTCTAGAAGATTGTAAGCACGCGCGTGGATTCATTTGTGAACTGGAAATTTGACATTAGAGAAATTAGTTTTATTCATTTTTCAAAATTCGAAATAAAGTTTTCTTAAACCAAAAGCTTTTTCTCAAACCTGAATTGAAGTCGTAACTATAGTGTACGATAATTCTCGTATTCAAAGAAAAATGAAACCACAAAAGATGTAGTGTTTTACTGAACAAGTGATGCATCTGAGAAGCAGTTTGTTGTCAATTTATGTTATTATAAGTTAAATTAAATTGAAAGTATAGCAAGCAAGAAGAATTAAATGAAACAGAATGGATCTTTTTTGTCAAAATACGTTTTGCGAATAACAGATTTTTTGTTGTTATTTGCGTGTCCAATGAAGAGAAATAAATTTTTTCTGTCATAAAGTGTTTTGTTTTCAATGATAACTTCTTTATACTTTTTATATATTGAAGCCAAAAATGAAATGACTTACTTAAAAAGATTGAAACTTAAAATAAAGAATACACTTCTTTTGTTTGTGTATACTTAATACAATCTCATTTACATCACCTTACAAATCAACTATTATTGAAGTAGAATAGTTTTAAACTAATAAATCTCCATAAAGTGAGGTAAATTCGAGATATTGTTGGAGAGGTCAAATGTATTACGGAATGCCATCCGTATATAATATTCCTGTAACCTCCGTCAGCCCGCCACTCTGTTAGTTCCTCTCGGTTAGAACCCCTCCACTCGTTCAAGAGACAAAGAAGGTTTCATGCGATTCGTCTCATTATCCTGGTGAGGAACTCACCATCATCTTGGACCCTACGATCCTACAAAGTTTGGAAACAATGTTGTTCATGATATTACTCTTAGAAACAGCACGTTCCCGACGCGATAATATGATACACGATTTATTAGGAAAACTGTCTCGCAGTCTCTCTCGCATTTCAACCTTTGACCTTTTCGTTTAGACGCCCCACCGCCGCGCAAAGAGAGTGCTCACAGGGCTTCGCAATGCAGCTGCGATGACGGCCAAACGTGACGCCAGTGAAGTGGCCTACGCCCACGGCAACCAGGCGATGAATGCCGCAGGTCGTCCAAAGTGTATTGTGGGGCGCTTCCGGGCTTTTTCCAAAGAGCGGTACAGGTTGATTGATTGAGTGATGAACTAGTGATTCTGGGAGAGGCACTTGCTGTCATTTTCGTAAGTATAGTTTTATTTTTTATCGTGTTATATTTTCATCGCTGGAAATTGCTGTGATCTACCATACAAAATCCGGCGCCGACCTTCCCGTCGGCTTGAATGGTTTCCAGAACCTTCATCTAGCGAGGTACCACCCTAGTAGGGATTAACTCTAAGCACTCGACTGATACACTTGCATGTAGTGGTAGTATAGTGCACGTAAGTGTGTAAGTAAAGGATGAGAATAAGACAGGGACGATTAAGAAAAGATTGCTGGCGGTCCGTGACCCGTTTATTGTACTGCTGCTCCGGCATTCGTGTTGTTTTGATCGGATAAACCACAAAAAAACCACCGATTAGAGCAGCCAACTTCATGAATTGTGCTCCAGACAGCGAGCGACTGAATTCGACTTAGCTGTTTAGTAGCTAGTGTCCGAAATTCTGCCAGCGTCGGGACTCAAACCCTAGGACCTTGCGGTCAGAATTGCTGCAGAGACAGCTGCAATGCTCAGCTGGACGTCGTGTAGAGGGAGCAATTTGCACTTAATCACTCGTGAGTCGCTTGTGTTGAAGCGCGCCGCTAAAGCACTTTAAGTGAAACTACATCTATTTCAACAGTTTGAGAAATCTTTAATAAGAACCTGTACCATTAATGGCGTGCACCTCTTCGAAGCAATTCGATGGCCAAGAATGGTTTCAGGGATCCAAAAATGTGTAAATCGCATTAAGGTAGATCTAAGTTGTATTAAGGACGTGTGAGCTTCTCGGCGGAACTTCTGCGATGTAGTCGAAGCAACCTTGGCAGCAAGGGGTGAGTAACAGAATAAAGCCGTCCATCAACACTCTTGGTCATTTCAACTTGATGACACGGTTTCTACAAAGTTTCCACTGTATTCGTCTCACACAACAGACATTCTGGCATGAATTGCACCTCCAGGCACTCCTTGGGCTGTCAGAAAATCTCCACCTCTTTGTTCCTATTTTCTGGCTGCAATAGTGACGTGGGACGCCCACAGACACGCTGACTCACATTCAAGCACGTCCAACACACACATGGAAGAGTGGGGAACGTTCGCGCTGTTTCTTCTTGATTCCGATCACAGGGCACTTCTATGCTAACCCTATTAGCATTACCAACTTCCGCGCCACTCTCGTTATACTGCCTGTCTCGTTTTCATTTAACTGACCCTCATATATTTGAGCTTGAGGGCGACGTAAGCCTAGAACCTAATGCAGAATGGCAAAATACACTTGAGCACCGGGAGCACAATGGCAATTGCGATAATCATCTATCTGGTTGTTCAGTTCAGCAAATAATGTTTTAACGCATTAATAAAATGTACATCGTGTATTTGTTTACATCACATCTCTTAAAGCTCTCACACATTCCGGAGCATTCACATAACGTTCCTTGTATGCTTCTGCACCAGCGTATCATGTTGAGCGGGAAGTCACAAAGCTACTTTTTAGTAGAAAGGTTTAAAATTTTGAATTTAGGTCAATTCTTCGGGTTCAAGCTGATGTGTCAAATTTCGAAATCAGACAAATAACTGATTTATCAATAGATAATATTCTTTAAAATATATAGGAATAAAATAAGTTTTTTAAAACCTATTCTTACTATTCTGCATGAAAGATACAGACGTATATCTTATTTCAGACCGGAAATATTAGTAATTTTTTTCGTATTTTGTCGAAATACATCGTTAATTAAAGACTACTGAGTGTAACCAAATTATTTTGTTTCGCAAATGATCTATAAGTTATTGACTAAAATGATTGCTTTTACATAACGTAGAGTGAAAAATATCGGAAAAAGTTTGCAATCTGCTCTCTTACTTACAAGAAGCATGCAAAGAGAGGCCAATTAATTTCAAGGCCAATGCACGAGATAAACATGGCTCATTCTGGTAAGTCCCAAGATAAGCCATTCGAACATACCACTATAAACCATTAAATCACAAGGGGAAAACCCAAATTTTGCTATAAATGGGAGTCATGAGGAATCGTTTTCATGATGATAACAGCTATGGCAGGAATGAAGAAATTTCTGTCTCCACTTCACGCTTTTATGACAATCGTTGTCACTTTTGTAAGAAAAAAAACTTCTAACTAAACTCACTTATAACAGTCAATAATAATAATGGCACAGGCAATGCATTAATTAATCTATATCTCCTTATTTATTATGTATTTATTTTCGTAAATTCAATTTTAACTAATGAAAATATACACGGGAATTTACACTTTCAGTTTCCGATCCATGTTTACTTGACTTAACTAGAGGAATACTATAACTTGATGATTTGCCATTGTGTTCAGATACAGCATTTATTGAGTATAATCTTGTAATCTGTGGCAAAAAACTCCTACACGGTAATATGTTGTGAAAATCGAGCAATATGTTGAGAAACTTCATGAAGGTAATCTGTAGTGAAAATCAAGCGGTCAAACTAGTGGTCCTACAACATACTAAAAGCTACGAATCATTTATAGAGTTCGGATGAAATTGAGTATTTGGAGAAAACTAGTTGAAAGTTTTCAGAGGTGATTTTACGTAATTTGATTTTTTTAAATATACATTTATTTTAAATTTTTCATTTCAAATATTCAAATTTGTGGTGAAATAAATGCACATCATTTCTAGTATTATTGGTAACTGACAATACTTAATAGTAAATATAATAAATTAAAACACACTATGTGTAATAATATGAATAATATTAATACTTGATTTTTATAAATAATGACAAGGAATGACTCTTGTTCCGTTTACTGAAATATAATGAATTCGTAATGAGATCCATAGTGTCAGAAAATGGTGCGGTGGAAGATGATGTTAAGACAACAATAGCAGCGCGAAATAAGTATTATGGGAGCCTCCTTAAAATCAAGATGTATCTCCAAAGCCACGAAAGTGAAACTATATATAACAATTATTAAACCAGTGGTTTATGTATAAAAGTTGGGCGTTCACAAAGAAAATGGAAAACAAATTGATGGTATGGGAATGGAAAATTTTGAGAAGGATTTCTAGAAGTCTTAAACACAATGGGATACGGAGGAGTAGAACCAACTTGAATAATGAGTACTGTACAAGTGCCCAAATACTGTTGTTAGTTCTAAACTCAGAAGGCCACGTCCATGGAAGTGGAACGCCAGACTGATCTCCGTTGGATTGATGTAGTAAAGGAAGACCTGAGAACTTTGAGAGTGAAGAGATAGCGTAGGAAAAAGCAAAACAGAGAATGATGAGATACTGTTATGAAGGAAGGGGCAGCAAAGCTACGAGCGCCGTAACGCTAATCGAAAAAGAAGAAGATGAAGAAGAAGAAGAAGAAGAAGAAGAAGAAGAAGAAGAAGAAGAAGAAGAGGAAGGTGGTATTCGTAACTACATTCGACATTTAAATTTCGTATTATGCAAAAAAATCTTCTTTTAAAAAGCATACAAGAATGGTCTAAATACAATGTGAGAATCGTTAGAAACCGCCTTAATTAACACAGAGACATAAGAAAAGTTTACATAGCTGTACATTTGATATTTTTGGTTTTTACTTTATCGTAAATGTACATATATACGGAGTAATATTATACGTAGTATAGAGAAAGTTCTGTAATGCAGCAAGAAAAAAAAGGCCAAGAAGAAAAAATTCATTACCGGACCCTGATAACCAAAAAGTGGATAAATTCAGTTGCTAAATTAAGAAAAATATCCTCTACCACGTGGTGTACCAGAATCCCTGTTTTGGGGGGTTCTTGATATCGAAAAAAGAATTGGCAACAAAACGTCCTTCCGTCAGTCCTTTCTGTAAAAATCACTAGCGTCTCAACCATGTGCATGATTTTTTTCAATATAGATTTTCCCCGTGTCGATTTGGCTCCAGTTGAAGCTTTGAGATTTGAAAAACATTCTTTAAAATTTTTGGGGAACTTTACATAAAGCCCCTGGGAAGTTTTCGAATTTTTCTCAAATCGACTACAAATTTTGTCTCTAAATTTCTCGTAAGAATATAGTAAAATACATTTAAAAAGGGGGCATTTGTCCAATTTTTAGGATTAACTATAAACTTTCGAAAAGTTCAATTTTTTCGGGGATCTTCCTACATCTACAAATTTGAAGATATATATTTTTTCTCCAAGTAATATTTTTTCTCCAAGTAACAATTTTTCTCCATATTTAGTTCATAAAGGTCACATACAATGTTTTCAAAATTTTAGCTGTTTTCCAGAAATATTGCGTGCTATTACTATTGCACAATATGTGCAATATTAAAAGAAACTAAAACAAGATTTTTTCATTAAAGACTAGACTTTTTTCTTTAAACTGTCGGTAGAGATAGTTTTAATGTACTCTATGAGATGATATAAACATCACTTCCCTCTAATCGTTTGCTTTCAAAAACTGCAAAAAAGTATTTTTGGACTTAAATCTCACTCGTTACAGCAGCGGAGATTCGTTGACGTCTGCCCGTCAGAAAGTGTGCCTGCGTCAGAAAGCCTACCCGGAAAGCTGCCTGACAGGAAGTCTACCTGACAGCCAGCTTGCTCGTCAGCCAACCTGTCAAACACTTAGCCACACCTTCCATTAGCCAACCTGTCGAACAGCTAAGCAAACAGTCAGCCACACTTTCCATTAGCCAACCTGCCCGTCAGCCAAGCTGCTCATCCCAAAGAATGTACTTCTCTTGTATGTTTGCTATGTGGCAGAAAGCGTAGTGAGCATTTACATGCTACAATAAAGAGAAACTCTTTATCCAAAACCGTGGGTGCTGATTGGGCTCTTTTGGTTGTGTGAGTCAGGAGGCGTGGCCAACTTTTGCAGGCTACAAGAGAAGAGCAAGTGGTATTACTTTGCTCAATACTTGATGTAGAAGCAATCGATTATATCATATATATGCTACTGGGGTTTAGTGAACTCTAATTCAAATAACAATTATTTCTTTCTCAACTTAGTAGTCAAATTAAATCGATGTACGGAAGATTGCTACCTAATTTTACTTTTGAATGAAGACATCTTTCCTTAAATGTGTCTATTTTTTAGAAATAAATTTCTGAATGTTAAAATGTAAATGTTTTTTTAAGTCACACTGCTGAAGTGCTGAAAGGTTTTTTTAGGGAATGGCAGCCCTTTCTTCCCGAAGTTCTGCATTGAGGAGAGGTATCAATGTAGGTCGGTGAGGCCTAGTACGAAATAGGCGTTCCAAAACATTCCAAAGCTCTTCGATATGATTCAAGTCCGGACTCTGTGCAGCCCAGTCCATTACAGGAATGTTATTGTCGTGTAATCACTCCGTCACACCGTGCCGTATGAACAGGTGTACGTATTGTAACGGTACAAGCTCCTGCGTTGGAAAATGTACATGAAAAAAAAAAGAAAAAAATAGCAGACGCCCGCGACGCAGCTGCGAGGAAAGGGGGTCGTAGGCATTTGCGTCCGTCCGTCTATTGAGGCGAGGGTTCTATAAACGTTTATGGCAGGACACCCCTGCGCCAATATGTCAAGTGTGCCGCCTATTCAAGCGACCGCTCATAAAATGAACCCCAACGCTGAGTGCGCCTCCTCGGGGGGGGGGGGGAGAATTTACAACCAAACGGTCAGCGGCGCACGTGCGAAGAAAACAGGCCGATAGTTTTTTACAACAGAAACGGACCATCTGGCCGTTAAGAAAGAGTTCCCGTGTGATTGGTCAGACACACGCCTCCACCCTGCTCCGGGAAATTCAACCCCGCGTATCGGGAGGATACACGTTCTTTGGAGGGAGGGGGTACCGAGGTTTGATGTTACTAGGCCAGGGCTCGGTAAGCAGTTGGTGGCT